TGGAAACAACAATTCAGGATTTCATATGGAAACATAAATGACCACAAATTGCCAAAACAATCCTCAGCAAAAAAAAAAAGCAGGAGGCATCACACTCCCAGACTTTAAACTTTATTATAAAGCTACAATAATCAAAACAGTCGAGTATTGGTACAAGAACAGGCATATAGATCAATGGAAAAGGATAGAGATTCCAGAAGCAAAACCTCAACTTCTCAACCAACTCATCTTCGACAAAGCCTCCACCATCAACCACTGGGGAGAAGAGAACCTATTCAGTAACTTGTGCTGGGAAAACTGGCTAACCACATGCAGATTAAAACAAGACCCCTACCTATTGGCATTCACTAAAATCAAATCTAAATGGATCAAAGACCTAAACATAAAACCTCAAACTATAAGAACCTCAGAAAATGCAGGAGACACCCTTATGGAAATTGGAATTGGCAAACAATTCCTGATCACAATCCCAAGTGCCCATACCATAAGAGGTAAGATAGACAAGTGGGACCTCATCAAACCAAGCTTCTGTAAATCCAAAGAAATCATCAAGAGAGCAGGGAGATAGCCCACAGACTGGCAAAAAATAAATGCCAACAATATGTCTGGCAAAGGCTAACATCTAGGATCTACAAGGAACTCAAACGTGCTGAAAAGAAAAAAACAAACAACCCCACTAAGTGCGCAAAATATATGAATAGACAGTTCTCAAAAGAAGACATACAAGCAGCCAACAGATACAAGAAAAAATGCTCAGCCTCACTGTCATCAAAGAAATGCAAATTAAAACTACACTGAGATACCACCTAACTCCAGTCAGAATGGCCATCATCAATAACTTAAAAAACAACAGATGCCGGAGAGGATGCAGCGAAAAGGGAACACTTCTACACTGTTGGTGGGAGTGCAAACAAGTACAGCCCTCTATGGAAAACAGTGTGGCGATTCCTAAAAGATCTAAAAATCAACCTTCCATACGACCCTGCAATCTTCCTACTGGGTATATACCCAGAAGTACTCAAATCACTCTATAAAAAAGATACCTGCACATGTATGTTTATCGCAGCATTGTTCACAGTAGCAAGAACATGGAATCAACCATGCTGCCCATCAACAGATAATAAAAAAATGTGGTACATATACACGATGGAATATTACGCAGCCATAAAGAAGGACAAGATCATGAACTTCACGGCTACCTGGATGGACTTTGAATATTTAATGCTGCGTGATGTATCACACAAAGAACTGAGTATCACATATTCTCACTCATAGGCGGACCTTGAACAATTATTATAATACTAAAAGAAAAGGATTGGCAGTAGCAGGAAACTGCCGGGGGGTGGGGGGAGACAGGGTTGGCAGTAGTGGGAATCTATCGGAGGAAGTGGGGCATGCTTCCTCAACAAGGGTACCTGCATGATGAACATTTGTATATTTAACCCTGAATTGTACCCCACATCTTTAAAATAAAAAAATTAAAGAGAGAAAAAAATATATATATACATATATAAATTGTCTTCAAGTCTAAAGCAGTGGTTCTCAGCTAGGGATGATTTGACAAAATGTCTACAAATGTTTTGAGCTGCTCCAACTGAGGAGTTACAACCAGCTTAAGTGGGTAACAGGCCAAGGACACTGTTAAACATCCTACAATGTGTGTACATCCTACAAACATCCTGTGTCCTATGGCACAGGACAGTCCTTTACAACAAAGAGTTACCTGGCCAAAAATGCCAATAGTGCCAAGGCTGAAAATGTCAGCATAAAGTGATTTAATAAGCATTCTTATCTGAGAGACATGACAACAGATGCATTTTCATAGATATGAAAAATCATGTAGATAGAAGATTTTACATGTCACATAAAATTGCGACATTACTGTATATTTATGATTATGAAAGTTACTAATGGCAAATTAATGTGAACAGCATATTATACTTTCTGAGATGAGCAGTGATATTTACCTTCTGGGAATTTAATAGTGGAAATATTTCCTTCATTTTTTAACAAATATTTAGGCTGGAAATGATAGAAGTAAAAAACACTGTAACATAAACGAAGAATGTCTTTAATGGGCTCATTAATACACTACTTACAGCTAAGGAAAGAATCAGTAAACTTAAAGAGAAATCAATAGAAACTTCCAAAACTGAAATTCAAGGAGAAAAAAGAATGAAAAAGAGTATCCAAGAACTGGGATAATGTATAAGCACATGTAATGTGAATACCAGAAGGAAAAGAGGAGAGAAACTAACAGAAGAAATATTTGAAGTAATGATTGAGAATTTTCTAAAATTAACGATAGACACCAAACCATAGATACAGGAAGTTCAGAGAACACCAAACAGGATAAGAGACAAATAATCTCCACTCAGCAAATTCAAACTGCAGAAAATCAAAGACAAAGAGAAAATCTTCAAAGATGTCAGAGTAGATAGCAGCGGAAAACTTAAGCTACAGAGAAGCCAAGATAACAGTTACATTTGACTTCTCTTCAGAAACCAAGCAAGCAAGAGGAGAGTGAAGTAAAATGCTTTACATGTTGAAAGAAAAAACTTGCTAACTCAGAATTCTGTTTCCTGTGAAAAAATATTTTTTAAAATGTTTATGGCTCTTGAGTCACTCTCACACTCAAGCCTGCTTCTAATTCTCTGGAGTGTACTGCTTCTTCTGCCTAATAAATCTCTCTCTACACTAAAAAAAAAGTTTACTCTTTGAATTAGGGTCTCACGCTGTCACGCAGGCTGGAGTGCAACACACAATCACAGCTCACTGCAGCCTTGACTTCCTGGGCTCAGGAGATCCTTCCACTTCAGCCTCCTGAGTAACTGGGACTACAGGTGTATACCACCACATCTGGCTAATTTTTTATTTTTTTATACAGATGAGGTCTCACTATGTTGCCTAGGATGGTTTAAATTAAACCACAGAAGACAGTACAAGAGTGGGGCTCAAGCCATTCTCCTGTCTCAGCCTCCCAAAGTGTTGGAATAACAGGTGTGAGATGCTGCACCTGGCCACCTCTTTTTTTTTTTTTTTTTTTGAATCGGAGTCTCTGTTGCCCAGGCTGGAATGCAGTGCCACACTCACAGCTAAAACGTTGACCCACTGGGCTCAGGCGATCCTTCCACCTCAGCCTTCCAAGTAGCTGGAACTACAGGCCCATGCTTCCATGCCCAGTTCCTTTTTTGATATATTGTAGAGATGATGTCTCACCAAATTGCCCAGGCTGGCTTCGAATCCCTGGGCTCAGGCAATCCTCTCGCCTCGGTCTCCCAGGTCATCTTATTCTTAATTGGTCTAACATATAACTGAGATGATAACAGCAACAATGTATGTAGTGATTTTAGCTCACTAATAAGTGAATGATAGCAACATGATAAGGGACATGAGGGGGGAGTTAGGAATATCCTGTTACAAAGTACTTGCATTACCAAAGCACTATAGTGTCATTTGAAAGTGGACTTTTATTAGTTGTAAATATATATTGCAAAATCTAGGGCAACCAATAAGAACATTTTAAAAAGAAGTACCATTGATATGCTAGGAGAAGAGAGAAAATGGAATCACATAAAATGCGCAATTAAACCATAGAAGGCAGTACAAGAGTGTAAGGCAAAAAGAAAGAACAAAGGCAATGGACGGAAAAGTTACAAACACGATGGCCACTGTAGGGTATGGGGCGCTGTGGGGTCACAGGGAGCTACTGATTTTTTTTAAGTATCAAGAATAAAAACACCACTTTAGGAAAAAAGTGATCTCTGGAGTATGTCTTCTAATACTTTCCTCATTTAAAATGTCTAACTCTTTAGAGAATTTGGTATGGAAGTTTTCACTTTGAAAATACTTTCTGGGATTGTTTCAGACTAGATGTTCAGTGCTTCCAATCTGGTAATCCAAGTCACAGCCTTTGGAGCTCCTGAGTCATGAGGTCCCCAGGTCGTTTCTGAGCTTCCCAGGTCGTTTCTGATGCATTCTCCTTTCCCTCCAGGAAAGGGTACAGGAAGATGTATGTCTGGATTTTCTTTGCTACAAGTGTAGCTCCAGTTAGAGGGTTTTTACAGGCATGAGCTACTGCACCTGGCAGAGAGGGCTTTTTACCTTTCAGGGCTCTTTTCTTGTTACCTTAACCAGTTGGTGGGGTATGGTGGCTCACGCCTATAATCCCAGCACTTTGGGAGGCTGAGGTGAGAGGATTGCCTGAGCCCGTGGGTTTGAGACCAGCCTGGGCAACTTGGCGATACTTCATCTTTACAATAAATCAAAAATTAGCCAGGCATGGTGGCACATGCCTATAGTTCCAGCTAGTTGGAAGGCTGAGGCGGAAGGATCACCTAAGCCATCAGGCCAAGGCTGTGGTAGTCATGACCGTGCCACTGCACTCCAGCCTGGATGACAGAGTGAGACGCCAACTCAACAAAAAACAACAACAAAAACAAAAAATAAACTTATCTCTAAGAGAGGTTTATGGAACACTGCATCACAATCACTGTTAAAGAGGAAGATTCTGCCCAATAACTACTGAATAGGGCTCTCGGGGAGTGGGCCCAGGAATCTTTTGCTAGCAAATGTCACAGCTGAATCTTAAGCACACTAATGTCTGAGAACCACTGCTTTAACATATAGTTTCTTTAGAGTTGGGGATGGGTTGGGGAAGGCTTTTCCCTTGATATGTTGGGCCAATTTATTGCTTAGAATATTTGTACCCTAATCATCTGCTAAATATATTTACTAACCAAATATAGTAAATACACAAGGAATATTTGTTGAAGGATTGCTTGGAGTATGGCATTATACTTCCTCAAGGACTGAGATAAGCAAAACATTTTGATTCTTCCAACTTGGATGGTAGTTATTTTATTCTAAATAAGTTAAGCTATTTTTATAGTCTTGTATGTCATGTGTACAGAATAGCTATAATTTCAAAACTATGGGAGTAAGAAGTCAAGCTTTATTTTATCTTCCACCTCGATAATTCAGAATCAAACTTTATTTAGATGGTAGGCCTGTTCTGATACTGACCATTAAAAAAACCACTTGAGCTTCTCATGTCAATTAAATCTGGTTTAAAGAATTTCTGCAAAAGAAAAATAAATGAATGAAGGCATAAGCATCTAGAGAAAACATAAACTCACAACAACAACAACTACTTTATGTAAGTGTAAGTAAGAGTTGACATAAGGATCAGAAAGTGAACAGAGGTATTAGCATATCCTACATGTTGAGAGCACTATGAGGCTGGCCTGGGGGGTGGAGGAACTGGCAGAAGGTTGCAATAGCTAGCTTAGACTAGAAGAGAAAAAAAACGAGTAGGCTAAGAACCTTAAGGCCTACTCATCAAACCCTTGCAAAAACCAGAAAACTAAGGATGTTGAAAAACAAAAAGGCAAAAGAGAAGAGAAAGAGGACTTTTATCTGGGTTCTTCAAGTATTGGGTCAATGGAGCTGGTCTGAGTACAGTGGTGGTTACAACTAATTGATCACAACCAGTTCCAGATTTCTTTGTTCCTTCTCTATTTCCACTGCTTCACTTGACTAGCCTTAAAGAAAAATTGGGTGAATGGGCTAAACATATACTACATTATACTACTAGATTAATTTGTAAGGCATTGTTAAGCTCTAACATCAGTATCCAATCAAAACTGTTTAACAATGCCTTACAAATTAGTTTAGTAGAAGAAGGGCCGGATTGATTGTTAGTTATTTTTAAAATATTTTTCAGTTCCTTCCAATATTACCAACTTAGAAAAACCTGGGAAAATTGAGCCAGAGCCCAATTTTCCATACATGTTCTTTGTGGAAGAGAAAAATGAATAAGAAGTAAATAGAAACAATACGTAATCACTCTCCAGAGAGAGGCCTTACTTCTTATAAGACTGTATCATTCGGGGCAACCCCTTCGGGTCCCCTCCCACTGTGGAAGCTTTTCTGTCCTCTCAATAAATCCCGCTTTCTCAAAAAAAAAAAAAAATACTGTGGCATCCAAGAGGGAGGCAAGGCTTTCCTACCTCTTGATTTGTTAGAGGGGCATGTATGTATGTGGTGTTGTGTGATATGTGTGTGTGTGTGTGTGTGTGTGTGTGTGTGTGTGTGTGTGTATGAGGTTTATGTGTATGCTCGTGTGCTGATGTGCACGTACATGAATGTGTGCATGGAAGAGACATAGGTGGAACCGACCAACTCAGACTATGATCTACGTCTCACCTCTTAGCAGCAAGATGTAAACACTCGCATGAATGCTGTCACTCTGGAAAAGAGATGCAGTTTTAGGTACATTTCTTAATCTTTCCTCCTCGGTAAAGGAGAGAAGACAGAGACTGAGAGGCCAGAAATACACACATACACATGTACACACAGAAATTCTCCTAATTTGGGGGTCAGAACAATGTGGGGAAGTCAGTCCTCATTCCTTCCTCCCTCTATATTCTGGATAGCCGGGAAGAGCAGAATTCAACAATAAGAAAGAAAGAACTGAAGGTAGACTATCATTGGAAACTCACTCAGGCTGTTGTAGAAAGACCAATTCTTTCGCAAAGACATAGTTGAAGCAGTAGGCTTAAAATTTGTGGTAGATGCAGATACACCTGCACAGAAATAAGAGAAATAAGAAAAAAACCGCCGGGCTCGGTGGCTCAGCCTGTAATCCCGCGCCTTTGGGAGGCTGAGGTGAGTGGATTGTCTGAGCCCGCGGGTTTGAGAACCGCCTGGGCAGCGAGACCTCATCTCTACAATAAATCAAAAAATCAGCCGGGTGTGGTAACGCATGCCTGTAATTCCGGCTACTTGGAAGGTTGAGGTGGAAGGATAACCAGAGCCCAGCAGGTCGAGGCTGCGGAGGCCGGGAGCGGCCACTGCACTCCAGTCTGGGCGACAGAGTGAGACTCCAACTCAAAAAACAAAAACAAAAAAAGAAAGAAAAAAACAGTGAAGTAATCATTGGCAAATTGCTCTAATTAATTAATTAATCTGTGATGGAAGACAACAAAGCAACCGTGTAAGCAAAAAGCAAAAATTACCTGTAAATAACCTTTTTTCCAGATCTTCTTGTATTTTAAGAAGAATTCTCTCCTGTTCTAAGGCTTCTATGTACTTTGAGTAGCACGCTGTTGGCTAAAAATGCAATTTTCAAAGTTAATTCTTGACATGTTTGCCTCAGGAAATAAACAAGATGACTTCTATCAGTCCTTTCATTTAAACTTTTAATTAAAGTATAACATACAAAAAGAAAAGCGCACATAAGTTTACAAAAGCATACATTTTCACAGACTGAACTTACCATGTAATTTTTTAACTGGGCACCACAAATTATTATCAATATACCTTAGTCCATTTTCATAAGAATATTTATAATGAAGTAAAGGTAATTGTTTTCTTTTTTTTTTTTTTTTGAGTTGGAGTCTCACTCTGTCGCCCAGACTGGAGTGCAGTGGCCGCTCCCGGCCACCGCAGCCTCGACCTGCTGGGCTCCAGTAACCCTTCTGCCTCAGCCTTCCAAGTAGTTGGAATTACAGGCATGCGCTACCATGCCCGGCTGATATCTTGATTTATTGTAGAGATGAGGTCTCGCTGCCCAGGAGGGTCTCGAACCCGCGGGCTCAGGCAATCCACTCACCTCAGCCTCCCAAAGGCGCGGGATTACAGGCTGAGCCACCGAGCTGGGCTGGTAATTGTTTTCTATAGCCTTGACAACATTTTAAAATTCCTTGGTTGGAAGGTTGATAGGGATGTGATGGTAGTGATATGCTATTTTTCTGTGACACAATGTCAACAAAAGCTTTACAGATATCATGACAGCTACTCAGTCAACTTTATATATTGAATTTGATTATGAATTTGGATGCTTAGCAAAGATCCACATTTTAGGGACAGGGTAATTAATTTTACATTTGGATTACAATTCTTCAATGTATAAAATCTATCTGAAACAAATGCATATACTGTCAGCCTTCTGCATCCACGTGTTCCACGTCCACAAATTCAATGATCAAAATATTTTTAAATCAATAAAAGATAATAATACAACAATAAAAATAATACAAATAAAAACAAAATAGTATAACAACTATTTATAAGGCATTTACATTGTATTAGGTATTATAAGTAATCAAGAGATGACTTCAAGTATATGGAAAGACGTGCATACGTTATCTGCAAATACTATGTCATTTTATATCAGGAACTTGAGCATTCTCAGATTTAGGTACCCGCAGGGAGTTCTGGAACCATTCCCCAGAAGATACTGAGGGACAACTGTACAGGGCATCCACATTTACAAAATGTCAATGTATTATTATTTTACAAATTGCTAAAGTAATTCAACATGTATACTTTAAATAGTAATAAAAATAACCTATATATTTATAAAACATCTTTGTTTCCAAAAGCTCTTTAGTTTTTAGTTTATGATGACAGGATATCATCATCATCTTCATCCCTTTCTTTCTCTCTCTCTTTAAAAGGTAACAGGCAGCCGGGCTCGGTGGCTCAGCCTGTAATCCCGTGCCTTTGGGAGGCGGAGGTGAGTGGATTGCCTGAGCCCGCGGGTTCGAGACCCGCCTGGGCAGCGAGACCTCATCTCTACAATAAATCAAAAAAAGTCAGCCGGGTGTGGTAGCACATGCCTGTAATTCCGGCTACTCGGAAGGCTGAGGCGGAAGGATCCGGAGCCCAGCAGGTCGAGGCTGCGGTGGCCGGGAGCGGCCACTGCACTCCAGTCTGGGCGACAGAGTAAGACTCCAACTCAAAAAAAAAAAAAAGGTAACAGGCTCAAAGGAAATTATGTAATACTGACTTATGACAGAGCAAAGATCAAAGCATGGTATCTTAACTGCACAATTACCCGTTTATTTTTATACTGTGTTTCTGAAATTTAATGCTAGTCATTTACTAATGAATATATTTCCGAATGACATTATGTATTAGGAATCATATGTTTTCAGATATCTCTTTTAGTAAATGATTCCACAAAATTGGCTATTTATCTTCTCTCAATAAAAGCTACCAGTTATCTCGTCAAGTGACTGAATTTGACATTCCTAAATGCCAAAAAGCTTATCTCTTGAGTTAATATTATCCTAAGGTGCACATGGCTTTCAATACAAGTCATCAAAAATGGGTACAAATTAAATTTATGAAATTATAGGAAAGTGATAGTAATGTGCTAGTTATAAATGTAGATATAAACAGAGAAACTATAAATGTGTTAGTCAGTGGTTCTGTGTGGGCAATTTTATAGTCACTTCAAATAATTAAAAAATTGAAAGTAAGCATTTGACATTCTTCTATTATCTTTTAACCCAAGAATATAACAACCTATATATATTTTTAATTTTGTTCTCTATTATACTATTTCTGGCATATTTCCTTTTCCAATAAGGTAGTCACGTCAACTTCTGCAACTTAAATCTTCTTCATGTGTATCAAGAAGTTATTTTCCTTGGTTATATTGCCCAGGATTCTCTAAAATTTGAGTGTTCTCTGGAGGCTGAAGAAGATTCCCTTCCGATCTCTCCTAGTATTATAATTTCACCTCATTTTCAAGCAAACCACATCTCTAGTGCTGTACAATGAATGAGTTATTGCATTCCACTATTCAATGCTCTAGAGAGGAAGTGAGCTGTGACTTGCTTACCTGTCGGCTGTAAGCTTGCAGACCTAGGATGGAATCACTGACTAAAACAGTTTTGGTAGCAGACATTGAAGTACTTGCATATTGTTTGAGTCCATCCTGTAATCATATTAAAGTAAATTATTCAAAAAAGGGATACTGCTACGTTAATATAAACTTATAAGTAAGGAGTTGCAACATCATATGACAATATTTCATGCCAAGAGCTACACTTGAGGTTTCATCAAGTCAGTATTACTAACAGGACAGTCTCCTATTTTGATCTTTAATTGTATCTCATGCTAATATAAACATGAAAAGTGATGAAGCTGAATGTAAAAATCAAATTCTAGTATCCAAGAAAAACCACTAGAGATATTTTCATGAATACCAATTCGGATTTCTCACTAGGGAAATCCATAATTTTAGATCCATAATTTTAACTTTTATATTTTATTACATAAATTTTATGCAAATGGAATCTAACTAAATTTTCTCCTTTAAAATCTGATTTTTCATGCAAAATATGCTATGAAAATGTTTCGATGGGAATACTATAGAAGTGAAATGTAAGCTGGGTCTTTGTATTATTTACCACTGTATATCCACTTGTAGAACAGTGTATGCCACAGAGTAAGCACTCAAATATTTGTTAGATGAAGAAATTAATAAATTAAGTCACCATTTTCAACGGATGAATAGTCATATACTCAAAGATGTGACGAATAATAAAATGGATAAACTGGATCATCAAACTACAAAACACTGCTCAAAGAAATCCAAGAAGACACAAACAAATGGAAAAATATTCTATGCTCATGGATAGGAAGAATCAACATTGTTAAAATGTCCATCCTACCAAAGGCAATCTACAGATTCAACGCAATATCCATTAAGTTACCAACATCATTCTTCTCAGATCTGGAAATGACAATACAGAAATTCATATGGAAACATAAATGACCACTAATAGCCAAAACAATCCTTAGCAAGAGAAACAAATCAGGAGGTGTCACACTTTCAGACTTCAAACTTTACTATAAGGCTACAGTAATCAAAACAGCCTGGTATTGGTACAAGAACAGGCATATAGACCAATGGAGCAGGATAATGATTCCAGAAGCAAAGCCTCAATTTCTCAACCAACTCATCTTTGACAAAGTCTCCAACAGCAACCACTGGAGAGAGGAGAACCTATTCAGTAAATGGTGTTGGGAAAACTGGTTGATCACATGCAGAAGATTGAAACAGGACCTCTACCTAACATCATATACAAAAATTAACTCTAAATCGATCAAAGATCGAAACGTAAAACCTCAAACTATAAGAATCTTAGAAAACTCAGGAGGCACCCTTATGGAAATTGGAACCAGCAACCAATTCCTGTTCAGAACCCTAAGTGCCCATACCTAAAGAAATATGATAGACAAGTGGGAACTCATCAAACTAAAGAGCTTCTGCAAAGCGAAAGAAACCATCAAGAGAGGAGGGAGACAGCCCACAGAATGGGAAAAAATATTTGCCAACTGTATATCTGACAAAGGCTGAACATCTAGGAACTACAAGGACCTCAAATTTGCCTAAGGGGAAAAACAAACAAACAAACAGCCCCATTAAAAAGTGGGCAAAAGACATGAATAGAAACTTCTCAAAAGAAGATATATGGGCAGCCAACAGACACATGAAAAAGTGCTCAGCTTCACTCATCATCAGAGAAATGCAAATCAAAACCACAATGAGATACCACCTATCCCCACTGAGAATGGCCATGATTAATAAAACAAAAAACAGATGCTGGCGAGGATGTGGAGAAAAAGGAACACTTCCACACTGCTGGTGGGAATGCAAACTAGTGCAGCCTCTTTGGAAGACAGTGTGGTGATTTCTGAAAGAACTAGAAATTGACCATACATATGGCCCAGCAATCTTCCTATTGGGAATATACCCAGAGGAACTCAAGTCATTCTACAAAAAAGATACCTGCACATGCATGTTTGTTGCAGCTCTATTCACAATAACAAAAACATGGAACCAACCGTGCTGCCCATTGAAGCAGGACTGGATTAAAAAAATGTGGCACATACACACAATGAAATATTATGTGGCCATAGAGGACAAAACATATGGACTTTGCAGCAACTTGGATGGATTTAGAGTTGATCATACTCAGTGATCTATCACAGAAACAAAGAACAGAGTATCATATGTTTTCACTCATAAGCAGACCTTGGACAATTATCATAATACTATAAGAAAGGGATTGGCAGTAGTGGGAAACTGCCGGGGGCGGGGGTGGGATTGGCAGTTGAGGGAAACTGCTAGGGGAGGGAGGGACACACCTCATCAACAAGGGTACCTGCATAATTAACATTTGTATACCTAAACCTGAATTGTACCCCACATCTTTAAAATAAAAATAATAAAAAAACTGGATCATCATTTTCAGTAGTTAATATTCTAGTAAAGGGATATACCATAGATGATTTAATGAATGCCTCCTATAAGAAATTTAGGTCATTTCCAACTTTTTACTATTATAAATGATGCTATGTACATACATCTTTGTGCATCTTTATTATTCTCTCCTTTAGAATAAATTTCTAAAAGTGTATTGTCTGATGAGAAAGAATGGACATTTTAAACAATATATGTTGTTGAACTGCCTTTAAAATGGTACTTCATTAAAAAGTACCATCTTACTTTTTCTCCAATAATATATGAACTTTTATGCCTTTTTCTCATACCCTCAGTCAACATTGGGTACTGCCCTTACTTTCTTCTTTGCCAGTCTTTATGTCTTTGGTTATTAGCAAGGTTGAACATCTTTTAATGCTCTTACTCACTTATATTTCTTCTTTGAATTGCCTGTTAATGCTCTTTAACCGATTTTCTATTGAGTATCTTTTTTTTCTGATTTATTTTTACAACTTATATCACACATTTTGTTTCCCAATTTATCTTTTAACCTTGTATATTTTTGCCATTTAAAATTTTTTATTTACTATCTTTTTTATCTCAACAGCTTTTGAAAGTACAACTGGTTTTTGGTGCACTGTACAGTGGTAAAGAACTCTGGGCTTTAAGTGTACCCACCACCCCACTTGTGCAAATGATTAGCATTTTTATTTAGTTAAATCATTGTGATCCTTTGTTAATGAACTTCTCGCTGTTCATTTTAAGTACAGATATTAAACTAGATGAAACTTTTTCATGAGATTCTCTTCTTCTCTCATAACTTTCTTCAGATTACCTGGCTACATTTGATTACTTAATAAGAATAAAAAGTGGAGGACAAAAACTGCATTGTCTTAAGGGTGTCACGTAGAGGAACAGAGCAGCAGTGCCATTAAAAAAAAAAAGTGGAGAATATAGGTATTTGATATTATCTTTGTTATTAAAAAGGACAACTACTGCTATACTATTAATAACTAACATTTACTTTATGACATGCATTGTGCTTGTGAATGGTTTGCCAAAGACAACAGAATTAGTAAGTGGTGAGGCCAGGATTCAAAACCAGGGAACCTGATTCTACACACTGTACTTCTATACACTATGCTGTACTGTCTCAGATCAAATGATCAAATAATACCTTGCACTTACAGTGGAATAGCTTACATAGGTCTTTTATACACATCATGTCAATTAACTCCTCTCAATCATGTAAGATTAATATTATCACCATTAGTTGATAGGTGAAGTTGAAGCTCAGAAAGCTATGAGTCGTGCTTGTGGTTACCTACAGAAATCCAATGCTTTTCACAGTGAAACGGATTTTTTTTTTTTAGAGCATCCATTTTTATACTCATAGGCTTCCTTCATGCATTTTTCTAGCATTTCCTCATGGTTCACTACAGTCTCTTCATTGACAATAACATTTTGAAACAAACATTGGCTACTATATCGGTCTTCTTTAAATTTTCCATGTTAAAATAAATGCATGTGTGAAATCTGCAGCTACTAATAAGTGATAACAATATGCTTATTGCATATAATAAGAATATTCAAAAGCAGAATTCCTTTTCTTCTTTAGTATTCACTCTATAAAAGGGTTGCTTTTCAATTGTCAATATGTGTACCTAACCCTGTTAGTAATTCCCAGTTAATAGATATAGATTAGTGAAAAGACCAACTAAAGACATTTGCAATTCCATAACCTAAGTATAATATGGATGATAAAACATAAATTCAGGATTTTCCAGAGAAGTAGCAATTTAAGTCTTTTCTCTATTGCAATCACACCATATGTCCCAACTTTCATATAATATACTTGTCATATAGCTAAGCAAATAGAAAATACTTGAGACTAAGAGAGCTGTGAAGTTCTTTTCAGAGCTTGGGGTACAGTAAGAGATCTTTATATCCTCCTCACTTCTACATTAATTCATTCAAGAAATACATATACAGAACTATTTGCTAAAATCCTACTTTTAAGATGAAATGAAATGTATTCTATGAAGTCTCTCCCCTCTTCCCCCCAAATAATTAATTGCTCATTTTCTGTGATCCCAAAGATTTTTTTGACTATAAAACTTTTATGGTTAACTGTCTATGTGTGTCTATCTACTCTTACACTATATGTAAATGAGATCCATGCCCCTAGCACCCAGCATAGGCACTATATGTAGTGGATGATCCATAAACGTCTTATGAAAGAAGGAAGAAAAGGATTAGCATGGGAAGCTCTGCTGAGAGGCTACTTAAGCTACATTAGCAGACTCATCTGATCAGTGGAGCTATTCATAGGACCACAGGTAGAATCAGAGAAGAGCTCCAAGCACAAATAAGTTAGACAATATTTTATTTTTCCCCCTAAATACATTCTTCCAATGTCTTTTGGAAAAGCTTTCCTGAGCCTACAAACCTAGGATCACATTCTTGCACCCTGTGAACTTGCCTCAAGGGACTGGAGAAGGTTTATGGGAAGATTTTCATTTAATGAACTCTATTCCTTGTTGGAATACATAGATTGGGCTAGATGCACAGTTGGTGTGAGGGGAAAATCAGATTTGGCATTATTTGATTAGTTATTTATCACCTAAACTGTTGGCAGGTGAGTGTGAAAAAAAATTAAATTATCAAAAATAATCATATTTAACTTTAATGGTATGATTTATTTA